TCTGTTGCCTTGTTGGAGGGGACATTTGTAGAAGCGGCATACATATCATCCAGGTGGCCTCTGTGTTGCTGGAAGGACAGAGACTAAAAGAGAGGAATATGTCAGGCTGGAGAGAGATGTATTTTTATATCCCTTCAAGCTGAAGGAGAACCCAAGGTGGGGAGAGTGTGGCAGGGCAGCTCTCCATCATGTGCTGATGGGTCTAAGCTCCCTAAGCTCAGGACTTCATCAACGTTTGGACAAATGCCTCTTCTATAAAGCCCCTCACATTCATCTACCGTCATAATGTCAGTGCCTTAGGCTGATACGATTAACTCTATCATGACTATCCAAGTGTTCAAAAAGGATGAGGGGAAGTAAAAAAATGGCAAATGCTATATAAAAGAGATGATATTCAGAATGATTTTAGGCATAGCTACCTCAAGAGATGTCTATCAATTCCTATAGGAAATGTCTTTCTAGAAGATCTACTAACATTGCTCTTTTTGCAATATAAGGGAAACTTTTCCATCCAAAAGCATGTAGCTTAGGGAGGCCCTAAAAGCTGTAACTGATAGTTTTTAGTGGTTTTTTTGCTTCCTGTTTATTAAGTGAATTTATTTAGCTGCATGGACTGGGTCTCAGGAGATAAGTGGTCAAGGGAAGGTGATGAGAGGGGGAAGAAAAGGAGATTGAGGATGTGGAATTCTTCCTCAAAGGCTAAAGTCAGTCCTGATGTTAAAGCTAATGACATTTTCATTTTGCCAAGCTTAAAAAAATATTTTGTGTTCAGATGGCACCTTTAATCATGAATAACTTTTGGCTGAGTTCCAGGCAGTTTCTTCTGGCACAGAGAACTCTGAGATCATACACTATATTCAGAGCACAGAAGAAAATTTTCATCCACTTCTGAAATATAGAGGAGGGGAAATGGAGCATATTTGAACAGTTTCATAACAAAACCATACCAGGGTTAAAAAAAAAAAAAAGAGGAAGGGCATCCTAGCTATTTGGAGTTTAGAAAGGTACTATTCTAATCAGTAAGTGGCAATTTTTTTTCACTCTCAGAGTGTTACACAATAAATTAAGTAGCTTGCATAAATCCAATGGCAATCTTCTATTTCAAATATATAAATAAAGGCAGATAGATTTTGTGATTTATCTAAGGCTAATTGAAGAAAGGAGGGAGGCAAAAAAAAAAAAAAAAAAAGGGAGGGAAATTTGGCCTAGTGAGACTCTTACTCTCGCGTGTGTTATAGAAACAATATCACGACCTTCCCAGGGCACCAAACCGTACTGAAGGCACCACAAAAAAAAAAAAAAAAAAAAAGCACCTCCCAAAGTAGCAGGTTGTGACCCAGGAGTTTGAGCTCTTAAAGCTGAATTTAATCCACACTCAGGCCAAATATAATCCTCCAGTATGGAAGTGGTCCAAGACACCAGAGCTAACATTTTTTATCTTTGCCAAAGAGCCAGAGGCAGTTAAATGACAAGCAATCAGAACATTGATTCTGTTTCCCAGCTGAAAGAAAAGCCAGCATCATGTGATAGGCACTTCCCACCATGGTAGGACAGATTTAAGCATCTTAAAGGGAATGTTCTGTTTCTGGACATCCCCATAGCTCTTGTACCACTCATTCCTTGGAAGTCTACTCAACGGTCTGTTTAAATTAGGGTTTTGGCTCATACAATTTTTGGTGGCAAGGTTGAATCATTGCTGTCTTAGTTAGGGTTACCATTGCTGTGATAAAACACCATGATCAAAAGCAACTTGGGGAGGAAAGGGTTTATTTCACTCACAGTTCCATATACCAGTTAATAATCAAGAGCAGTGAGGGCAGGACTCAGGTAGGGCAGGAACCTGGAGGCAAGAGCTGATGCAGAGACCATGGAGGAGTGGTGCTTACTGGCTTGCTCTCCCTGGCCTGCCTCAGCCTGCTTCCTTATAGAACCCAGGACCATCTGCTCAGAGATGGCATCACCAACAATGGAATGGGCCTTTCCACATCAATCCACAAATAAAGGAAATGCCCTACAGGTTTGCCTACAGCCTGAGCATATGAAGGCATTCCTCCCAACCTCCCTTTTTTGGAGGGGTGGGTTTCTTAGACAATGTTTCTCTGTATAACAGTTCTGGCTGTAGACCAGGCTGGCCTTGAACTCACAAGAGATCCACCTGCCCCTGCCTTCCAAGTGCTAGGATTAAAGGTGTGCACCACTACCACCATCAAAGGCATTTCCTTAATTAAGGTTACCTTCTCTTAGGCGACTTTAGCTGTTTTAAATTGACATAAAACTATCCAGCACACTTGCTTTATGCCATGTATCAACCTGGAGCATTTGACTTATACTGTGTTACTTTTTCCCTCCATCCCCCTAAACCTTAGATATGAGAAATACTCTGTATTTTAGAAACTGAAACCCCATCACAAACTGATGACAAGTGGTCCAGGCAAAAGCTGCAGTGAGGGCAGTGGTGGCGCACGTCTTTAATCCCAGCACTCGGGAGGCAGAGCCAGGTGGATCTCTGTGAGTTCGAGGCCAGCCTGGGCTACCAAGTGAGTTCCAGGAAAGGCACAAAGCTAC